CTTCTTACTGTCATGAACTGCTTCAAATTAGACTCTGATTAGAGGTTACTCTCTCCTTCTCTCTAAGAGACCACCAGAGCCATTGCCATCATAACCTACCTTTTTATTTACCTCAGTTTCTGTAAGGAGTCTAAGCTCTTCCTTTTATCATCTCTCATTGCAGGGACTTTTACCCTTTTATGGCCAGATGCATCTCATAATCCAACTCAATTCCTGTCTCTCTCAGACCACCCCAAGTTTTTTTGCTATCCAAAAGTAATTCTTAAACATAATTTCTATTTTTATTTTAGATTCAGAAGGTACACATGTAGGTTTGTTACAAGGGTATATTGCATGGTGCTGAGGTTTGGGCTTCTGTTGATCCTGTCACCCAGATAGTAACATAGTATCCAATAGGAAGGTTTTCATCCTTTGTCCCCTCCCTCTCTTCTTTTGGAGTCTATTGTTCCCATCTTTATGTCTGTGTGAACATAGCTCCCACTTACAGGTGAGAACATGTGGTATTTGGTTTTCTGTTTCTGTGTTAGTTTGCTTGGGATAATGGCTTCCATGTACATCCATGTTGCTGCAAAGAACATAATTTCATTCTTTTTTTATGGCTAAATAGTATTTCGTGGTGTATTTCATGAAGAGAAATGCACCACACTTTCTCTAACTATTCACTATTGCTGGGCATCTAGGTTGATTTCATGTCTTTGCTATTGTGAATAGCTCTGTGATGAACATACACATATATGTGTCTTTTTGTTAGAATAATTTATTTTCCTTTGGGTATATACAAAGTAATGAGATTGCTGGGTCAAATGAAAGTTCTATTTTTAGTTCTTTGAGAAATATTCAAACTGGTTTCTACAGGGGCTGACCTAATTTGCATCCCCACCAGCAGTGTATAAACCAGCATATGATATCTTCTGACTTAATAATGGCCATTCTGACTGGTGTGAGATGAGATGTCTCATTATGGTTTTGATTTGAATCTCTCTGATGATTAGTGATGTTGCACATTTTTTCATATGTTTGTTGGCTTAATTAAAGAGTTTTTGCACAGCAAAAATCCTCAACAGAATAAACAGATAACCTATAGAATGGGAGAAAATATTTGCAAACTATGCATCTGACAAAGGACCAATATCCAGAATCTATAAGGAACTTAAATAAATAAACAAGAAAAAAACCCAAACAACTCAATTAAAAATTGGGCAAAGAACATGAACAGACATTTCTCAAAAGTAAATTCTTAATTCCACCCACACCCAAAATCTATTACCTTCCATCACATTAAATTGTGCTACCACTTATCCAGTTGCTCCAAAACCTTAGAATAATGATTACTTCCTCTATTTTTTTTTTTATCTTACATCAGATAGATGTATTGGCTGTACCTTTACAGAGTATCGTAAATCTGATCACTTCTCATCATCTCTAAGGCAAGCCATACTATATATCTTATGGACTATTGCCAAAGCCTCCTAACTGGCACATTCTCATCTTCCGCAGCATCCAGAACACTCATTTTAAAATACAGAAAACCCTAAAGACTCTGCCAAAAGGTTATTAGAACTGACAAAACAGTTTTAGTAAGGCTTCAGGATACGAAATCAATATACAAAACCAGTAGCATTTCTATACATCAATAGTATACAAGCTGAGAGTTGAATCAAGAATGCAATCCCATTTGCAATTGCCACAAAGAAAATGAAATGCCTAGGAATATAGCTAACCAAGGAGAGGTGAAAGATTTCTACAAGGAGAACTACAAATCACTGCTCAAAGAAACGAGAGATGGCACAAATAAGTGAAAAAAGACCCATGTTTATGAATTGCAAGATCAATATTGTTAAAATGGTCATATTCCCAAAAGCAACTTACAGATTCATCACTATTCCTATCAAATTACCAATGTAATTCTTCATGGAATTAGCAAAAACTATTCTGAATTCATATGGAACAACAATAAAAATAGCCTGAATAGCAAAACCAACCCCCAGCAAAAAGAACAAAGCCAGAGACATCACACGACCTGATTTACTATAAAGCTATAGTAACCAAAACAGCTTGGTATCAGTACAAAAACAGACATATAGACAAATGGAACAGAATAGAAAATTCTGAAATAAAGCCTTACACTTAAAACCATCTGATCTTTGACAAGACCAACAAAAACAAGCAATGGTAAAATAACTTTCTATTCAATAAATGGTACTGGGATAACTGGCTAGCCATATGCAGAAGAATTAAACCAGACCCTTACCTTTCCCTATATAAAAAAATGAACTAAAGATGAATTAAAGTTTTAAATTCAAGACTTCAACCTATAAAAATCCTAGAAGATACATCCTAAAGAAAGGAAACCAGTATATAGAAGAGATATCTGCACTCCTACGTTGGTTCCAGCACTGTTTACTAAGATTTGGAAGCAACGTAAGTGTCCATCAACAGATGGATAGATAGAGAAAATGTGGTACATATACACAATGGAGTACTACTCAGCCATAAAAATAATGAGATCCAGTCATTTGCAACAACATGAATGGCAGTGGAGATTATTATGTTAAGTGAAATAAGCCAGGCACAGAAAGACAAACACTGCATGTTCTCACTAATTTGTGGGACCTAAAAATCAAAACAATAGAACTCATGGAGGAGAGGCTGGGAGGAGGGGCTGTTGAGGAGGTGAGGATAGTTAATGGATATAAAAAATAGAAAGAATTGGAAGCACAATAGGGTACTATTTGATAGCACAATAGGGTGACTATAATAAAAAACAACTTAATTGTACATTTTAAAATAATTTAAAGAATGTAATTGCATTGTTTGTAAATTAAAGGATAAATCTTCTGGGGATGGATACCCCATTATCCATGATGAGTTTATTTCACATTGCATACCTGTATCAAAACATCTCATGTATGTCATAAGTATATATATCTAATATGCACCCACAAAAATTTTAAAAAATTAAAAAAGAATAAATAAATATAAAAATTGAAAAAAATTCTAGAATAAAACCTAGGAAATGCCCTTCTTGACATCAACGGTGACAAAGAATTTTTGACTACGTCCCCAAAAGTAATTGCAACAAAAACAAAAATGGACCAGTGGGACTAATTAAACTGAAGAGATTCTGCACAGCAAAAGAAACTGTCAGTAAACAGATTACCTACAGAATGGGAGAAAATATTTGCAAACTATGCACCTGACAAAGGTCTAACACCAGGACTCTATAAGAAACTTAAACCGGCAAGCAAACAAAACAAAGCAAAACAAAACCCATGAAAAATGGACAAAGGACCTGAACAGACACTTCTTGAAAGACCACACACAAGCAAACATATTTAAAGAATGTTCATCATCAGAGAAATGCATATCAAAATCACAGTGAGATACCATCTCACACCAGTTGAAATGGCTATTACCAAAAAGTAAAATAAAGGGAGTGGTGGTTCATGCTTGTAACCCCCAGCACTTTGGGAGGCTGAGGCAGGCAGATCACTTGAGGTCAGGAGTTCAAGACCAGCCTGGCCAACATGGTGAAATCCTATCTCTACTAAAAATACAAAAATTAGCTGGACATGGTGGTTGGTGCCTGTAATCCCAGCTACTTGGGAGGCTGAGGAAAGATAATTGCTTGAACCCAAGAGGTGGAGGTTGCAGTGAGATTGTGCCACTGCACTCCAGCCTGGGTGACAGAGCAAGACTCCATCTAAATAATAATAATAAAAACAGATGCTGGTAAGGCTGTGGAGAAAAGAGAGCACTTCTTCTTTTTTCAAACTCCAGTAATAACATTATTGCTAGAAAACAGAACACTTCTACATTGTTGATGGGAATGTAAATTAGTTCAGCCATTGTGGAAAGCAGTTTGGAGATTTCTCAAATAACTTAAAAAGAGCTATTATTTGATCCAGCAGTTCCATTATTGGGTATCTACCCAAAGAAAAATAAATCATTCTACCAAAAACAAACATGCATGCCTACGTTTGCTGCTGCACTATTCACAATAGTAAAGACATGGAATCAACCTAGATGCTCATCAATGATGGACTGGATAAAGAAAATGTGGTACATATACACCATGGAATAGTAGGTAGCCATAAACATGAATAAAGTCATGTCCTTTGCAGCAACATGGATGGAGATGGAGGCCATAATCCTAAGGAAATTAATGCAGGAACAGAAAACTAAATACTGCATGTTCTTACCGGTGTGAGTGAAACATTGAGCACTCATGGACATAAACATGGGAACAATAGACGCTAGGTGGTGACTACTAGAGTGGGAAGGGACAGAGCGGGGCTTGGGTTGAAAAGCTGTCTGTTGGGTAGTGAAAAGCTCACTACCTGGATGCAATATATCCATGTAACAATAACTGGAGGAGACTGGTCCCTGTTCTTGCGAAGCTGCTTTGCAGTTAACAGTAACGTTTGGGTGAGCCACGCAGTAAATGACTGTATAAATCAGGGATGGAGGTCGACAGAGAGGTATTTGTTACAACAATACAGCAGTAGAAAGGTGGTAAGAACAATTACAGGAGACAGGAGCCTATTCTGTCCAAACACCCCAACAATCAAATTCCATGCATGTTTAACTCAAATATTGAGATATGTGTTTTCATTCAATGCTTATAGCCCAGAGTTTTGACTGTTTAGATCCCTCTTCCATACGAGTAAACAAATATTCTATAAATTTAGAGTATTCTCCCTGCTAGCTAGTTGCAGTCAATGAGGCCAAGGGCAGTTTGTGCATCTAATTGACTCTGGCAGGTCAGGCTGGAGCTCACTAGGAAAGCCTCAAGGGCATCTGCTTCCTTTTTTTGCATTTCTGATATTTCTGCTGAGAAGAAGCTGAAAACAAGGTGGACATCTGAGCAGTTTCTTCAAAAGTCTGTAGGTGATGGAGGGTAAAGCACAGGACATCCTTGCCTTCAGCAATTGTTTCTGGGCTCAGACACTGGGGAGCTGCTTCTGCAAACCTCTGTCAACTAAGCTTTGTGTGATCTGTCAGAGGAGGGAGAAGTTTTTGGGGTCTGAAGAGACAGGTGCCGACTTGCAGTAAGGAGACCCTGAAAGGCCAGGTAGCACATAACTCCCCTGTCCTGTCCTCTGGCTAATGATGCTCAGTGGGCTTACAGCTGCTTTTGCCCCAGACACAATTTCAGTGTCATTGTGGACGTAGAGAATGCCACACAGAAAAAGGAGCCGCGGCCGAGGAGGCAGCGGACCGGAGAGGCTCACAGCTTCTGGGCACCAAGGCTGAATTCCCCGTTCCATTAGAGACAGGCTAGGAGGGGCCAAGCGCCATCGGAACAATTGTCCCTGGCTGAAGCCTGGGACTAGAGGAAGTCCAGTTTACTCTAGTGCAGTGCTTCTCAAAGTGTAGTCCTGGTCTGAACCAGAAGCACCAGAGCCACCTAGGAGGTTGTTAGAAAGGCACCCTGAGTTTCTGATTCAGAAGGTCCGGGTGCAGCCTGAAATTTTGCCTTTCTAATAACTTTCTGGGTGGTGCTGATGCTTCTGGTGCTGTATTTATTTTTTAAGATTATCAAACACACAGAGTGGGGAGAAGAACAAGAAACTGCTTGTTCACATCTACAACCATCTGACCCTTGACAAACCTGACAAACACAAGCAATGGGGAAAGGATTCCCTATTTAATAAATGGTGCTGGGAAAACTGGCTAGCCATATGCAGAAAACTGAAACTGGACCCCTTTCTTACACCATATATAAAAATTCAACTTAAGATGGATTAAAGACTTAAACGTAAGACCTAACCCCATAAAAACCCTAGAAGAAAACCTAGGCAATACCACTCAAGACATAGGCATGGGCAAAGACTTCATGACTAAAACACAAAAAGCAATGGCAACAAAAGCCAAAATAGACAAACGGGATCTAATTAAACTAAAGAGCTTCTGCACAGCAAAAGAAACTATCATCAGAGTACAGGCAACCTACAGAATGGGAAAACATTTTTGCAATCTACCCATCTCATAAAGAGCTAATATCCAGAATCTACAAAGAACTAAAACAAATTTACAAGAAAAAAACGAACAACCCCATCAAAAAGTGGGTGAAGGATATGAACAGACACTTCTCAAAAGAAGACATTAATGCAGCCACCAAATATATGAAATAAAGCTCATCATCACTCGTCATTAGAGAAATGCAAATCAAAACCACAGTGAGATACTATCTCATGCCAGTTAGAATGGCATTCATTAAAAAGTCAGGAAACAACAGATGCTGGAGAGGATGTGAATAAATAGGAACACTTTTACACTGTTGGTGGGAGTGTAAATTAGTTCAACCATTGTGGAAGACAGTGTGGTGATTCCTCAAGGATCTAGAACTAGAAATACCATTTGACCCAGCAATCCCATTACTGGGTATATACCCAAAGGAGTATAAATCATTCTATTATAAAGACATGCACACATATGTTTATTATGGCACTGTTCACAATAGCAAAGACTTGGAACCAACCAAAATTCCCATCAGTGATAGACTGGATAAAGAAAATGTGGCATATATACACCATGGAATACTATGCAGCCATAAAAAGAATGAGTTAATATCCTTTGCAGGGACATGGATGAAGGTGGAAATCATCATTCTCAGCAAACTGACACAAGAATAGAAAACCAAACACTTTATGTTCTCACTCATAAGTGGGAGTTGAACAATGAGAACACATGGACACAGAGAGGGGAACATCACACGCTGGGGCCTGTCAGGGGGTGGGGGGCTAGGGAAGGGTTAGCATTAGGAGAAATACCTAATGTAGATGACAAGTGGATGGGTGCAGCGAACCACCATGGCACGTGTATACCTATGTAACAAACCTGCATGTTCTGCTCATGCATCCCAGAACTTAAAGTATAATAATAAAAAAAAGAAAGAAACTGCTTGTTGCATTCATTGGGCACCAAGCTTGTGGCCCATTCCTCTGAGTTCTGGCCTGGGGCCCTACGTTCTCCTGTCACCCTATACCACCCCCAACTTTGTCCGATTCCATCTAATTTCATAGTCTACAAATTGCCCACGATGTGCTGGGACATGTTACGCCGAGACCACATATTAACAGGGGAGACAGACACAACTGACTACACACTACACTTAATGCATGATTTAAGAGCTACAACATATCTAGAAACCACCAAGAAAGGAAAGATTTTAACAGTAGGATCACATCTAAATATTCACCATCATATGAAAGATTCTTTGCAGACTGCTCCTCATAATGATGATAATATACTTTGCTTGATTTGAAGACGCACATTTATCATACTTTGGTGTTTCTGAGATTCAGTTGCATCTTACAATTGAATGTGTACATTTAATGTGGTTTATTCTGCTTGCCAAAAAAGAAAAAAGCTGACAATTAACAGATAGTTCAGTTTTTTCAGCTGATGACAACCTAGACAGAGGGAAATATATTAATAACATGGCACTAATGTGCTAGGCAATATGCTAAATGTTATGCGGACATCTCATTTAATCCTCACAACCAACCTAACATAGAGAACAATTATCAAAGCCATTTTTCCAGGCAAGGAAACAAAGAGAAATAGCTTTCCCAAGGTCACCAAGGTCACAGCAGGCAAGGAGCAGAGTTAGGATTCAAATTCAACCCTGTTTGGCTCCTGAGTTCATGATCTGAATCTCAGGTGCTACCTGTTCACATCTCTCTTCCTTTACTAAACTGGTTCCTCTGCCTGGAAGACTTCTGCCACTCTTCTTTCTAAGACTTGCTTGTGGATGGGCACGGTGGCTTCCGCCTGTAATCCCAGAACTTTTGGAGGCCGAGGCGGGCCGATCACCTGAGGCTGGGAGTTCAAGACCAGCCTGACCAACATGGAGAAACCTCGTCTCTACTAAAAATAGAAAAAATTAGCCATGCAAAGTGACACATGCGTATAATTCCAGCGACTCAGGAGACTGAGGTAGGACAATCGCTTAAACCTGGGAGGCAGGGGTTGCGGTGAGCCGAGATTGCACAATTGCACTCCAGCCTGGGCAACGAGAGTGGGGGAAAAAAAAAAAAGACTTGCTTATCTAGATAAGGCAGGGTCAAATGGTACATTTCCTGTAACTGTTTCCCTGACCACTTGATACAGCTTGAATTTTTCCTCCTCTGAACTCCCATAGCAATCTTGTCACACTGGTAGAATATAACTTACTATATTGCATTAGAGCTGTCAACTCTAATGTCACACTGTAATGAGGAATAAAGTTATTCCTTATTACTCAGTTGAATAAGGAATAACTTTATTCCTCATTACAATGTGAGTGTCTTAAAGGCAGAGACTCTCTCCTACTCTTCTCTATATACCCAGAGCCCAGTACAGTGAGTGGAAAACAGTTGTTATTGGCTGAGCCGCTTAAAAAATGTGTTTTCCCTACTTGGTTGAGATACAGAGAAAGCTTTACAGACTTATAAATGATCATTTATTGAGTACAAACTACTGACGTAGTAATAGCTAAGAGCTTTATATGCTCTTATTCTTTTTGTGGGAAGAAATGAGATAATCAGTGTAAAACACTTAAAATAGCGTATGGCACATAAGGACTCAATCACGTTATTATTTTTATTGTTATCACTATTTAACCATGGTGAAAATTCACTGAAGTAGTTACTATGATTGTCACTATTCTATAAATAAGGCAACTAATAGGCGGAGAAGTAACTTATTCCCTGTCAAACAGACAATGAATGGCAGATTTTGATCATTTATGTGTATGCATCAAATCTTACCTCATGGATACATTTTTCATAATTCTACACAGCACACGAGAAATCTGTGCCTGTTCTCTAGGCTTGACTCCAGTGCCTGTTAGTTCTTCTGTACAATCATGCTGGAGCTGCTCACTGATCTGTAGGTGCTGCTCAACTCCAGGTTTTCTTGTTACCAAAATCTTTTCTTCAGCCTCTCTGCTCCCAAACCTGGGAGACCTGAAAGAAAAACCTGGCTGACTACAGTCGTGTCTCTGTCCTAGGCTGCTGTTCTGCTAACAACTCTCTCCGCATCCCAAGCCACAGCTTTGGTGAGCTGCTTAAAATTGACTATCAAAACTCTGATTCAACCATTAAGACACACGCATGCGTATGTTCGTCGTAGCACTTTTCACAATAACAAACACAGGGAATCAACCCAGATGCCTATTAACAGTGGCCTGGAAAAAGAAAACTTGGTGCATATACACCATAGAATGCTATGCTACCATGAAAAAGAACGAAATCACGGCTTTTGCAGCAACATGGATGCAGCCGGTGGCCATTATCCTAAGCAGTTTAATACAGGAACAGAAAATTAAATCCTGTGTGTTCTCATTTATAAGTGAGAGGTAAACATTGAGGACACATGGACACAAAGAGGAGAACAATAGATACTGGGACCTACTTGAAGTTGGAGGATGGGACTGAAAAACTGTCTGGTACTATGCTCACTACCTGGATGACAAAATCATTTGTACACCAAACTCCAGCGACATGCAATTTGCCCATGTAACAAACCTGTACATGTCCCCTCTGAACCTAGAATCAAAGTTGGAAGGAAAAACAAACGCAAAAAGAAACCCCTTCGATTTGAAGAAACATGGAATAGTCAAAACTTGTCATTCTAAAGTTGAGCCACAAGGAGGCAGTAGTGTCCTAGCCATAAGGTCTGAAGATGCTGGCATATTTATTCCAATGCCTTCTCTAGACTTACAACCTTGAGCTTTGCATATTTCATTTACCAAGTTACTATAGTTACCCAATGGTATTTTAAAAAATATGATATTTGGGATTTATATTACAAAGAAATAATTTCAATCTTAAAAAGAAAGTCGAAGTATAATTTTACATGTTTCTTTTAACACCTATTCTAAATAACTTTCCTCTTAGGCTGCATTAAAGAAAGATGGAAAGAGATAGAGAAGAAGGCGCAGGAAGAGAGAAAGCAGGCCCAGGCTTTATTCTTAGCATTCAGACCTGCTCAGCCAAACTCCACATCTCCTAGGCCTTCCTAATCTGCCTGCAGTTTGTGATAGTCTTCATCTTGTTTCTATGTCAGTAAAAATGACTATGCAACCTGTCCAGTCGGATTAATCAAATTAAAGAACTGTCTTGATTTTGTTTCCTGTAATTTAGAGACTCTGATTTATTTCTCAACAATAAAAGGAGTTCCCTGACTTCATGGTGTCCTGATGGTCCAAAGTTACAGAAGGCTTCAAGTACAATGAGTCTAAATCAAAAGAAGGGAATTCTTTTTTCAGTTCTGTTGAGAAGTAAAAGATCACCTTCTTTGTTTCCCCAAGGTCAGGATAAATGAGCTGTGAATGATCACATGTATATGGATATGGATAGATAGGTAGATAGATGGATATAGATATATGATATTATGCTTATGTGTTTCATATATACAATGTGTGTGTGTTTGAAACAGGCAATGTGCAAAGTATTTTATTGTATTTTATTTTTTTGAGATGGGGTCTTGCTCTGTCACGCAGGCTGGAGTGCAGTGGCGGGATCTCAGCTCCCTGCAACCTCTGCCTCCTGGGTTCAAGTGATTCTCCTGCCTCGGCCTCCTGGAGTAGCTGAGATTACAGGCACATGCCACCACACCTGGCTAATTTTTGTATTTTTAGTAGAGACAGGGTTTCACCTTGTTGGTCAGGCTGGTCTTGAACTCCTGACCTCGTGATCCACCCACCTTGGTCTCCTGAAGTGCTGGGATTACAGACATGAGCCACTGCCCCCAGCCGTTTTTATTCTTTAAAAATACTTTAGATTTAAATAAACTTGAGGATAAATCCTGGGTCTTCATTATCTTTAAAATTTTAGCTGTGCGGCACTGGGCAAATTAGTTTCTTTGAACATCAGAATATGAATATATATATGCATTTCTTTATTTTCAACTTTTTTTTTTTAAGAGAAAACAGGATGGTTTAATTTGTGGAGTCAAGAGTCGTTTGTTCTTAATTACTGCACTCAACATGCAAATTATATTCACCTCTTGGTACAGAAATGGCATCCTGTCACTTCCCTGGGACCTTTAACCCAGACAAAATTATTCTTGGGCACCCTTATCTATGTGTCTACCAACAATTGCCGTTTCTCCCTTCTTACAGCAATATGTGAATTCTCTTTTGTTCTGAGCAACTGGGAAAGAAGGCCTTTCATCCAAGGAAGTAGCCATTTCCAATATAGCACCACTGATTTGTCAATGGATTTGATAGATTTGATATAGTGACATGCAGATCAAGATTTGTATTATTTATAACCTGTCTCTGATGATCCCAAAGGCACTTTAGAATCTGGCAGTGCCTCAGGGTCACTGATTTTCACTGGACAGAATTAAGGGTTATAGAAGGTTTGCTGAGTCTGTCCTGGCCCTGGGTATTCACTTTGAAGAGAGTTTGTTTGAGTAAGGTTTTGACATATTTGCTCTCTATGTCTATGTAGGCTCAAAATGAACAATACAGGGAGATTCATTTTGTTCGTCCATAGTTTCTAAACCTTTGGTAGTGGAAATGGTTTACTTGTGTAATGAAAGTTAACAATACTAACAAAACTAATGGTAAAACACAGGGTGTTTGGATCCCAAGAAAACAGGAGTTTCCTGTGGTTAGATGTCAGGCTGACTGCACATAATACCTAGTTATGATGAACAATGCTTCCTCCAAAGACTGGATTTCTGCTAAGATTTTTATATATTACCAGTGGCTTGAACTTACTCATGTAACCAATCACCACTTTGTATCCCAATAACCTATGGAAAAATAAAAAGTAAAAAGGCATGTGTATTAAAATGTTAATCATAAAATGTAGACGTGATTATATGGGTGTTCATTGTAAAATTCTTTTAACTTTGCTGTATGTTGGTAACTTTTCATTTTCAAATGAAATAAATGCTGAATAAATGAATAAATATTGAAAAATTGTAAGAATATTATAAGAAATAGAGGTCTGTAATACCTCTTTGAACATGCCTTCGAAGTGAAGGTCTTTTGCCATGAGCTCTTCTTTGACATCATCTAGTGCCCACTGGTGATCCATCAGCTCCAAAGCTTCCCACTCTGTCTTGAAAGCTTTGTTGGTGTCTGCGGGCATGGCCATGGCTGCTCCTGCATCATTCGTGATTGGTCAGTGGCATTATCTTGGCCTAGAATCAGAGAGTAAATGCTCGGAAGCCCAAATCCATTGAGGAAGTACCTGGGTGCAGAACTCACTGAGGATGCATGTAATGCAAGGAATTCGATTCCTTGCTGTAACACAGGCTGAAAACAGAGGGTCAGGGGAAATGGGACCTTGCTTGTGACAAAGCCTGAGAATGTCATGTTGATCCATCCACCAATAAGAATCATAGGAAGAACATTTGTTGTTACATTCCCTTTCATCATGCCTGTCAGCATAGTAGGATCAGTCACAAGAGAAGGTGGCACTACCTTCCTTTTAGTTTTTTTTTTTTGGAAAAATCCATCTTCTGGGTTGTTGAAGTAATATTTTTGTGTCAAGAAAGACTGTTTGGGAATGTATTTTCCATTTTCCCTGAGGACTCTGCTTTGAATTAGGACTTGACTCTCAGACACTCGTTCCTAGGTGAGCTTCTTATCACTCTGCAGCAGGATGACACATAGTGGTGGATCATGCCTATGAAGAAAGCGATAATTACGATGGGTAGGACCACCTAGAGGCGGATGTTGGAGTCCAGCAACAGTTCCGGCCCTTCTACTTCACTGAAAGCTGGCTCCCAGCTGGGGATGGGCAAAATTCTCTTCGGGAAGCTGTTGCTTCTCTTCGACTTCACCTTCGGGCCTTCTCATGCCCCTTTGCCCAGCTAGCCCAGAACTCTGCAGTAGTGGCAAACCCAGCATACTTCCTTCAGCTGGGCTGGCCGGCCTTCTATTTCCAACTTTTATTTTAAGTTCAGGGGTACATGTGCAGGTTTGTTGCATAGGTAAACATGTGCCATGGTGGTTTGCTGCACAGATCATCTCATCACCCAGGTATTAAGCTCAGCATCCACTAGCTATTCTTCCTGATCCTCTCCCACTTCCCATCCCCCACCCCCAACAGGCCCCAGTGTGTGCTGTTTGTTGCCCACTGTGTATTCATGTGTTCTCATCATTCAGCTCCCACTTATAAGTGAGAACATGTGCTGTTTGGTTTTCTGTTTCTGTGTTAGTTTGCTAAGGATAATGGCCTCCAGCTCCATCCATGTCCCTGCAAAGGAGATAATCTCATTCCTTTTTATGGCTGCATAGTATTCCATGGTGTATATATACATGTTCTTTATCCAGTCTATTATCGATGGGCATATGGGTTGATTCCATGTCTTTGTTATTGTGAATAGTGCTGCCATGAACAGACATGTGCATGTGCCTTTGTGGCAGAATGATTTATATCCCTTTGGGTATGTACCCAGTAATGGGATCGCTAGGTTGAATGGTATTTCTGTCTCTAGGTCTTTGAGGAATCATCACACTGTCTTCCGCAATGGTTGAACTAATTTTCACTCTCACCAACAGTGTAAAAGTGTTCTTTTTTCTCCATAATCTTGCTAGCATCTGTTATTTTGTAACTTTTTAATAATAGCCATTCTGGTATGAGATGGTATCTCATTGTGGTTTTGATTTGCATTTCTCTAATGATCAGTGATGTTGTGCTGTTTTTCCTATGTTTGTTCACTGTGTATATATCTTCTTCTGAGATGTGTATCTTTATGTCCTTTGCCCACTTTTTAATGGATTTTTTTTTTTTTTTTTGTAAATTTGTTTAAGTTCCTTGTAGATGCTGGATAGTAGATCTTTGTCAGATGCATAGATTGCAAAAATTTTCTTCCATTCTGTAGGTTGTCTGTTTACTCTGTTGATAGTTTTTTTTTGTTGTTGTTGTTATTGTGTGTGTGTGTTTTTTTCCTGTGCAAGGGCTCTTTAGTTTAATTAGATCTCATTTGTCAAGTTTGCTTTTGTTGCAATTGCTTTTAACATCTTTGTCATGAAATCTTTGCCTGTGCCTATGTCCTGAATGGTATTGCCTAAGTTTTCTTGTAGAGTTTTTTATAGTTTTGGGTTTTACATTTAAGTCTTTAATCCATCTTGAGTTGATTTTTATATGGGGTAAGGAAGGGGTCTAATTTCAACTATCTGCATATGGCTAGCCAGTTCTCCCAGCACCATTTATTAAATAGGAAATCCTTTCCCCATTGCTTGTTTTTGTCAAGTTTGTTGAAGGTCAGATGGTTGTAGGTGTGTGGTCTTATTTCTGGGTTCTCTATTCTGTTCCATTGGTCTATGTGTCTGTTCTTGTACCAGCACCATGCCATTTGGGTTACTATAGCCCTGTAGTATAGTTTTAATTTGGGTAGCGTGATGCTTCCAGCTTTGTTCTTTTTGCTTAGAATTGTCTTGGCCACTTGAGCTCTTTTTTGGTTCCACATGAATTTTAAAATAGTTTTTTTTTTTTCTAATTCTGTCAAGAATATCAATGGTAGTTTAATGGGAATAGCACTGACTCTATAAATTATTTTGGACAGTATGGCCATTTTCACAATATTGATTCTTCCTATTCATAAGCATGGAATGTTTTTCTATTTGTGTCATTTCTGATTCATTTGAGCAGTGGTTTACAGCTCTCCTTGAAGAGGTTCTACAAGGGCCTGTATTGCTAGATACTTTATTCTTTTTATGGCAATTGTGAATGGGATGTTATTTGTGATTTGGCTGTTGGCTTGCCTGTTGTTGGTGTATAGGAATCCTAGTGATTTTTGCACATTAGTTTTGCATCCTGAGACTTTGCTGAAGTTGCTTATCAGCCTAAGCAGCTTTTGGTCTGAGTTGATTGGGTTTTCTAGATATAGGATTATGTCATCTGCAAATAAAGACAGCTTGACTTCCTCTTTTTTATTTGAATATCATTTCTTTCTTTCTTTTGCCTGATTGCCCTGGCCAGAACTTCTAATAATATTTTGAATAGGAGTGGTGAGGGAAGTCAACCTTGTCTTGTGCTGGTTTTCAAGGGGAGAACGCTTCCAGCTTTTGCCCATTCAGTATGATATTGGCTGTGGGTTTTTCATATATGGCCCATATTATTTTGAGGTATGTTCCTTCAAAACCTAGTTTATTGAGATTTTTTTAAAATATAAAGGGATGTTGAATTTTATCAAAGGCTTTTTCTGGATCTGTTGAGGTAATCATGTGGTTTTTGTCTTTGTCTTTAGTTCTGCTTATGTGATGAATCACATTTACTGATTCGTGCATGTTGAACCAACCTTGCATGTTGGGGATGAAGCCAACATGATCGTGGTGGATAAACTTTTTGATGTGCTGCTGGATTTGGTTTGCTAGTATTTTATTGAGGAAATTTTCCTTGATGTTCATCAAAGATATTGGTCTGAAGCTTCTCTCTGTTTTTTTGGTATCTCTGCCAGGCTTTGGCATCAAGATGATGCTGGCCTCATAGAATGAGGTAGGGAGGAGGTTCCTCCTTTACCATTTTTTAGTAGGAATGGTACCAGCCTTTCTGTGTACCTCTGGTAGAGTTTAGCTGTGAATTCATCTGGGCCTGTGCTTTTTTTTTGTTTGCAGGATGTTTATTACTGTCTCAATTTCAGAACTTATTATTGGTTTGTTCTGGGATTCAATTTCTTCCTTGTTCAGTGTGGGGAGTGTGTATGTGTCCAGGAATGTATCCATTTCTTCTAGACGTTCTAGTTTATATACATAAAGGTGTTCATAATATTCTCTGATGGTTTTTTGTATTTCTCTGGAGTCAGTGGCAATATCCCCCTATCATTTCTGATTGTGTTTATTTGAATCTTTCTTTTCTTCTTTATTAGTCTAGCTAACAGTCTATTTCATTATTTTTTTAAAAAAACTAGTTCCTAGATTCGTTGATTCATGTTCATTGTGGCACCGTTTGCAATAGCAAAGACCTGGAACCAACTCAAATGCCCATCAATGATAGACTGGATAAAGAAAATGTGGCACATATATGCCATAGAATACTATGCAGCCATAAAAAATGATGAGTTCGTGTCCTTTGTAGGGACATGAATGAATCTGGAAACTGTCATTCTCAGCAAACTGACACAAGAACAAAAAAACAAACACTGCATGTTATCAGTTATAGGCAGGTGTTGAACCATGAGAACACACGGGCACAGAGAGGGGAGTATCACACAATGGGGTCTGTTGCAGGGTGAGGAGCTAGGGGAGGGACAGTGGGAGCAGGGAGGTTGGGGAGGGATAACACTGGGAGAAATACCTGATGTAGGTGATGGGAGGATGGAGACAGCAAACCACCATGGCATGTGTGTACCTATGCAACAATTCTACAAGATCTGCATATGTACTGCAAAACTTAAAGTACAATAAAAAAAGGAAAAAAGGTAATTTCAGAATGTCACATATAACAGGAGACATTTATGTAAAGTTTTTAAAAACAGACGTGACATAAAAATATAAAAGCATACATGGGGAAATATATTCGTTTTCTTTTGCTGTGTAACAAATCAAATTACCACAAATATAGCAACCGGAAACAATATCTATTGATTATCTCATGGCTGTACGGTCAGGAGTCCGGGTACAGAGTAGCTCATATGGTTTCTCTGCTTAGTCTCACCAAGCCTAAACCAAAGTGTCATCAGGGCTGCATTCCTTTCCTGAGGTTCTAGGAATGACCCTACTTCCAAGCTTAGATTGATGGCTGATTTTTGTCTTTCGGTTGTGGGACTGAGGTCTCTGTTTTTTGTGCTGGCTACCAGCTGGGGGCTGGTTTTTGTTCCTAGAGGCTGCCCACAGTACTTCTCATGCTATCTGTGTGTCCCTCATTGAACAACAAACAATAGGTCAGGTCCTCTGATGCTTTAAATCTCTTTGACTTCCACTTGCATCACATCTCTCTCACACTAGTGAGAGAAAGTTTTCTGAAAATCATGTGATTAGATTAGATCCACCTGGACAATCCAGGATAATCTCTCTATTTTAAGGTCTATAACTTTAATGACATCTGCAAAATCTCTTTTGCCATGTAAGGTAGCATGGTCATAGGTTCCAGTGATTAGGGCATGGACATCTTTAGAAGGCAATTCTGCTACCACCAGTAGGAGAAGAAGCTACACGAGAAGTGACATTCTGACTTTAGGATAGTGGTTATCTATGGGTAGGGAGGAATAGATTAGAGAATGGCATAAAAAAGACTTAAGTTCTGTAATTTCCTACTTTTGAAAATTGGAATCCTAAGCAGAGGAAGTGCAAGTCTGGAAGAGCAAGGTTTCTGAGGAAGCAGAATTATCTATCTAAAGCACAGATAGAGGCATTTATTTTGAATTGAGAAGAGATGTCTTTTCTATTGTATTAGTCACTTGGACTGCTATAGCAAAACACCATAGTCTGAGTGCCTTAAGCAACATAAATCTATATGCTCAGTCTTCTGGAGGCTGGGAAGTCCAAGATCAAGGCATGTCACTTTCTGGCTTATAGATGGCCACCTCCTCACAGTGTCATCATGGGGCAGGGACACCCCCCCCCACACACACACAGAGAGAGAGAGAGAAAGGGAGAGAGTGCTCTTGTGTCTCTTACAAAGGCACTAATCCCATCCCATTAGACTTGTAACAAGAATACAGAAGGCAGTGTAGTGAATATCTTCGAAGTACCAAATAAAAAAATAACTCCCTGCTAGAAGTCTGTGCCAGTAGTAAATCCTTTAAGAATTAAGGTGAAATATATATATTTTGTTGAACCAACAATATATGTATATATCACTAAAAGACTTGCATTAAGGGAAAATTTAAAAGGAGGCCTTCAAGGAGAAAGAAAATGCTCATAGACGGATGTTCTTATTTTCTTCTTACCTATCTTTTGAGTCACTAAAATTTCTTCTGCTTTGTCTATTTTGTGTCAAATGTATCCAATGAAATCTCAGTTTCAGCTATCCAGATTTTCAGTCCTAGACACAGAAAAGTTGAGCAAAAAACCAAAAGGTAAGTATGTGGGTAGATTTGAATTATTATGGATTGCCTAATAATAACAACATATGTATAATAGTCACTCTTTTTAATACATCTACTAGTTAAATACACGACAATATTGGCAAGGTGATCTAAAAATAAGCCGTGAGTTACTTAGCTTCAATGGGAATTCCCAGCGGAATCAGCTAGTAACCATTTTTTAGCTAATGAGCCTAGTGTTTGCTTTCTAATCAGGATGGGCCGAGCTGCCCCCAGGGTTTTCAGGCCATACTCTGCCATCTCTTTGGCCAACTTAAGCCCGCAGCCTTTCTGAATGGCTAGACCTGAACCTCCTTTGTTAGCGTGGTGCTTGGTACTGTATTAACAGGCATAGAGAAATGATTGTGTAATTATGCTTGGGGAAGTATGAAAGAAGTTGCTGTTAAGAATTTGAAGGTTTCTAGTTTTCCTTTCTTTGTAGTTTTGGAGTTGTTACACGATAAGAGCAAAAATGTCAAACTTCAGAAAAGCTTTTTAAAGTCTTTGATTGCAGGAGCTTCTGAGGAATGAACTTACATATTTCTCTTTATGCAAAAAAGGTCTTAAAAAATAATGTCAGCTCACAAGAGTTGACAGTTATGGTACATTTTCTCTTCTGTGAATTTCTCCCGAGTTCAGAGGCACCCACACCAACTCAGAAAAACAGGATATGTTGTGCACCCGTAAAAGACAGAAGCATGGTAATGTCTTCCCTCTGTCCTTCCAGGATTTTCCCTGCTACTTTGTCCCCCTCTGTTTCCACCACTTCCTGTCATTACTCCATCAGGCACTTCCTTTCCCTATCAGTCCTCTTTGTTCTCCTGCACTGGAGGTGTCTAAGAGTCCCCTCCCCGCCCTCTCAATATGGTGCTCATTTCTGTTACATAAGATGTTTTGGTCTGCTCCTCAGCATCACTACTCTTCTTCCTTTTGGGAAAATGAAACACTTGGGTTGGGGGCGTGAAGAAAAGAGAATTTGATTGTCTTCAGCACTATATTCAAGTTAGTAATTAAGACCTCACCACTTTGCAGGGTACTTACTGTTTGATTCCATTGTACAAACGGCACAATTGAGACAAGATCTCTTTCCTATATCTTGTTTCTTGTTTCTGGTGCTGAAAGCCCACATTATGCCAGAAACCTGGAAGTCTGGGGAGGCTAATACTTGAGAGCTCACTACAAGTGGTGGGAGGAGATGAGGACATCAGCGATAGACTCTGGGCACTTTGTGACTCAGAAAGAACTGTCTCCCAGAACTCCAACCATATAAGATTCTGAAACTAACCATATCTTTAATTATAGATATCCCCTATAATTATATACTCTGATGTATATGGAAGTGCAGAATAGAACAAGACACACCTGTCCAATTGGTGAAATTCTTCTCTATTACCTTTGCTATATCTGGATTAATGCAAGCCCAGGGTGTCTAAAATCCCTTACAGGCCCCCAGTCGGTCTGTTCTCTGAGAGCCGAAAGCCTTAGACTATTCTCTTCCTGAGTCACATTCATTCACATACTCATCCTTCGTCAATGTATTCATTTGTATTTTAAAATAATATATTTGGAGCAACTTTTGCGACTTTCTTATTTTATTTTATTTTTTTTAATCTAGGAATTGCTTGAGAGCAACTTTGCTAGATACTTTTGTATGTCTCATTCTTAAAAAAAGTTCCTCTGAGGCAGGGCTTTTTGGGAAAGATCTAGTCAGCTGACTCCAACTGATTATATCAATAACTAAACACAGAGTGGTGGTATTCTCAGAGCTGTTTCCATTCTAAATTTGGATTCAGAGTCTGAATGGATGAAGCATTGAGAATAGTGAAATTGCAGCACCAGATTAAAAAAAAACAAGCGATGACTTTATTTATTCCTGTGGCCCCTTGAATAATGCTAACACAGTGTACATTTTTCTGTGAGGAAGTCTGGCCCTGACAGGGTACAATTTCCAAATTTGTCCTTTGTGAAAATGTCCTTTGTAAGATTTTCACTCTTTAGCCTTTATTTCTAAAGGAGAGATTCCCCCCACAATTTAAGAAGTTTCTAGTGCTGATGAATGGGGCTCCATCTGGAGACAAGTGGAAAAGAGGAGACCTTTTTTTTGCTGCCCTCCAAATTATAATGAGTGATGTGGTTCTCTGTCTGCATTTCTTGGTTTGATTCCCTGCCTTTCCAGCATCTTCTGCCAATGATGTGTTGTTCTCAGAAAGAATCCAGGTTGCTCTAGCTAGGGCTACACTGGTGAGTAAAAGAAAAACAATTAAAATAACATGGAAAATGCATTCCCCACATGACAGAAGTATTTAGGTTTTTGGAAATAATACACACTATTTAATTTTTTATTTTCCTCTTTTAGTAATCAAGGAAGAGGTCTATAAACAGCAGGAATTTTCAAACTCCCAACTTCATAATTCTCACACTGACATTCAAACGTACTAGCCTAGACCCCTGGATTTGAAAAAGCTTTTCTTTAATTTTGTGCTGCTTATTGTTAAACTGGGTAAGAAATGCAAGTAGTGTGGACTCAATTCCTAAGAAAGGCATTATTGCTGGGTGGTGTTTGGATAAACAATGAGAGAGAAACCGTAAGTCCTTTGAGAATTGAATGTGCCTGTTTTGCAGTATGAACGCAAAAGACAGAGCAGAATAGGAAGGGCCAAAATGGTGTAGTCGGTAGTGCCGAAGAGTTCTCTTGAGTCTGTGATTTTACTCTGGGCTGTCAGTGCAGAGTAGGAAAAAAGAAGATCATGCTTTACAGCTAGCAGGTAGTTTATGTTTACAAATGCCTGAAGATATAGACAAGATCTGAATCTGAACAGTTCGCATATAAATTACATTTAAATGGGGCATGGAGATTATGAGTGGAGTATGTTCCCATATCGACCAACAGTTTCTCATGATCAGTTACAGAGCATCGGAGGTCTCTCTGTGCTACCTTCTCTCTGATTATTTCCCTTTCTCCATCCTCTGCAGCTCTCCAACCATGGTCCCTTTTCACTTTCCATGACTGACCTCACTTAAGAATTTATTTAAAAAGTAAAAGTCATTGGATGGAAATTGCTTCCTCCCCAACACCAAATCTGCCAGCCTCATGATGTCTGAGGATGACGTAAACACGCTCCCGCCTAAGGCTGTGCTCTACTTCTGCTCTCACGCTCTCAGAGATGCCATTTCTACAGTTTTTATCTTATTTTTCCTTCTATCGCCCCCTCTCTATTAGATTGTTATCAATAGTTTACAAACGCTCCCTAGTAGCCTTAATAATAAAACAACAGCAACAACAAGCTCTGAAACATTTAAGAAAGAACATAAAGGTGGAAAGAGAGTGGATCTAAGGTTGGGGTCCTGCAGGAAAGATTATCATAGGTTTAGGAAATCTAGAGGCAGAGTAGTTTATCATTTCTGCACATGAATGTTTGGGTAAGCAGGAAACTTTGTGAATAGAAATGAGGGTTAAAACACTTAGGTATTTGTTAGGCATAAGAAAAGGTTTTACTCAATTTATTTGTCTCATTCCAGAGAAAATACTGAAGGCAATGAGAAACCACAGTGTTGTCCCCGAGTTTGTCCTTCTTGGGCTGTCTGCTGGCCCCCAGACTCAGGCTCTGCTCTTTGTGCTGTTCCTGGTGATTTACCTCCTGATCGTCATAGGGAACCTGCTGCTGGTGCTGGTGATCAGTGCTGATTCTTGCCTCCACACACCCATGTACTTCTTCCTGGGGCAGTTGTCCTTCTTGGATCTCTGCCATTCCTCTGTCACTGTACCTAAAATGTTGGAGAATCTCCTGTCTGAGAAGAAAACCATCTCAGTAGAGGGCTGCATGGCTCAGGTCTTCTTCGTGTTTGCCACTGGGGGCACTGAATCCTGCCTGCTTGCTGTGATGGCCTATGACCGCTATGTTGCCATCAGCTCTCCTCTGCTCTATGGCCAAGTGATGAACAGACAGCTGTGTTCAGGGCTGGTGGGGGGCTCATGGGGCTTGGCTTTTCTGGATGCCCTCATCAATATCCTTGTGGCTCTCAATTTAGACTTCTGCGAGTCTCAAAATATCCACCACTTCATCTGTGAGCTGCCCTCTCTCTACCCTTTGTCTTGCTCTGATGTATCTGCGAGTTTTACCACCCTGCTCTGCTCCAGCTTCCTGCATTTCTTTGGAAATTTTCTCATGATATTCTTGTCTTATGTTTGCATTTTGTCCACCATCCTGAGGATCAGCTCCACCACAGGCAGAAGCAAAGCCTTCTCCACCTGCTCTTCCCACCTCACTGCTGTGATTTTCTTTTATGGGTCTGGATTACTCCGCTATCTCATGCCAAATTCAGGGTCCATTCAAGAGCTGATCTTCTCCTTGCAGTACAGTGTGATCACTCCCATGCTGAATCCCCTCATCTACAGCCTGAAGAACAGGGAAGTGAAGGCAGCTATGAGAAGAACATGGAGAAAATATTTCTAGTGTTTCAATAGACTTATGAAGTCAGAATGACAAGGGAACGGGATAGACCTGCAGTACGCAGTTCCTGGACGCTAAGAGAATTCACCGATGGCAAGATCTCCAAGGTCCTTTTCTGAAAAATACTTAAGAAAAGGTGGAAAATTTACCTTTTCTGAAAAATATTTAAGAAAAGGTGGAAAATTATTTTCATGGGATACCAGTTCAGTCCTAGTCAGAGGAAGATGGATAAGATAAACCTCTTAGCAATTTTTTCTTACAAAGATATGTATGTATTATCTACAGTATGGTAAACATTGTTATCTGCTCAGCTTATCTCTACCATTCCTCTAATAACTGAACTCCACAGTTCAATATGCTTCCAAGAGACACTGTTAATTATGGAATCCCCAAATCCTCTCCACCCTCACTCCCCACCCCCACCCCACATCATTATTCACTCATTCTTGCTGGCACAGTGGCTGGTCCAGAAAAGGGCACATAGTCAAGGCCAGACCATTTACTCTTCTTAGGGTTATTTCTTTCCTTTGAGAAAGACTCTCTCAGTTGCCCAGGCTGGAGTACAGTAGCAAAGTCTCAGCTCACTGCAACCTCCGCCTCCCGGCTTCAAACAATTCTCCTGCCTCAGCCTCCCGAGTAGCTGGGACTACTATCTTAGGAATTTTAATCTTAAGGAGAGAGTCAGAGATCAGCCTTTCTGTATGCAGCACTCTGACAGCCTATGCAAGTGCCCCTGCTGCTAAGATCACTAGAGTTATCCTAGATTCTGTCCTTTCAAGGCCAGCTTTATAAACATGAATCATAATAAGAGCCCATTCTTAGATATTTGTATCATATCAGGCACTGTGTTAAGCAATTTATATACTTCATTCCATTTAAATGCTACAACACATACATTAGGTAAATACTTAAGTTATTCCTATTTCGGAGAAGAAGAAACTGGTTCAGGGAGATAAATCATGGTGTTGGAATTTGGAACCAAAGGGACTTGCACCAAGGCCTGTTTTCTTTATCACCACCCTGATACACTGACTATCCCATTGAGGTTCTGAGCTACACTAGACTCCATACATGAATTATCCTTTTAATGATTTGTTATTGTTGTCTTATTTTATTTTGCTTAAGTCAGAATTAGATTCTGGTCATTTGCAAGGAAAGGACCTAAAAGATAAATGTTAGTACCACAATAGAATTGCAGGCATAGACATCCAAGGACAATTGGGATATTTGAAATTGTCTTTTGGACCTAGGCATGTCCCATAGAGACTATAAATAACATATTTGTTTATTCTGCCTCAAACTTTTGTCCAATGGCCAAACATCTGTAGCTGTGAGGGGACCTGTGTATGACAAGAGACGATTTGCCACCTCATACGCATTGCTAGACAAGCAGCTCTGCCTCTTGGCCCTAATGATCCTGCAGAAATGGCAGCCATGAGAGAGCCCAATGGCAGAGGAAGGACTGGGCAGAGCCTGTGGCAAACTTCAAAAAGAAACCAGAAATATTTAAGCAAAGACTGCTTAGATCATGAAACCCAATCGGAGGATTAGTGGGAAGTGGATTTGAGAGAGGCATGTGGACCAAAATTATCATGATCCAAAATTAGCTATTCTGTCTGAAATTACTTTTTCGTTTTTATTTATTTACAAGCTGGCAACTATCACCCTTCCCTTCACC